TGTCCCTGGCAGAACAGTATAGTGCTTATGGCAGTTAGCCTAATACACTAGTCCAACGGCCATCACCCCACATCACAGGGTAGCTATGGCAGTAGCTGGATATGAGACAACTGTCTTCTGATGACTGCTGAATTACAAGGGCTTTTATTAAATCAAAAGTAGTTTGATAGAATAATGCTTTCAGACTCATGTGGAAGTTGGAACTCTCCAAAATATTCCGACAAATATGGCAATTGTATAAAGGACACACATTACAAGTTTCCATGCTCAACAGCTTTACTGCTGTTACTTATCTGCTAGAAGCCACTGTTTTACACAACTGGAAGAGGGACACTTCTATTTATTGTGCAAGATAGCTATTATAGTAATTCTAAGTACTTTCGTGACAATCCCAAGCAATGCTGCCTCATCCTGCTTTTCAACAACATGGTTGACAAAAATACATATCAGCACACAATAAGGTCTTAAATTGTCTTGACATGCATAAGAAAAACTGCAGCGTAGGAGTATGAAGTGCAAATCCACAAGGTTTGTTGAACAGATTAACTGAAATAGACAGCAAGTTTGCAAAAGCAAGCAATAGCAAGGTAGCTATGGGAAGAATTAAAAGCAACAGCTGCTCCTTTTGGAGATGGACAAAACCAAGCCTTTAGATTGAAAAGAAATCCTGTTAAATTGCAATCAGATGAGTAGGATTGCTATAGCAATTAAATGCTGACTGAATTCAACAAATTAAGTATTACCTGGTAGTTGAAGTAGGTAATTATATGGCTCCAAAAGAATTCTTTTAGATGTTTCTTCTAATTGTTCCATTTTATAGGATTTTATTTTGATGGGTGGTTCAGTCTGTTTAGAAAAAAAGACTACTAGTATTGTGGTTTACATGTTTCTTATATACAGTTCTCACCACGGAATATATCATACAGGATGCAGGAGAACTATGTAGGGGAACAATTACAGTCTGCAGGCTAATACAGAGAAGATATTCTTAAGTGCTAATTTAGTTGCAAAGCCTGAGGTGATTTAAATACTATCTTTGCATTTTGCCAAAAACGAAGTTAAAAGGACTGGAAGACAAACAGACCACCAGATTATTTGTAAGGCAGCAATATGAAAACTCTGAACACAGTCTTATTTATTGCACACCTTCAATTAAAGTTGTGTGAACCTCTGAAATTACAATATTGCTCAAATCTTATCTACCATCATATCAGAATTCATATTCTCATACATCCTACACTATTTTTGGATTTAAGAAGTTCATGTTTTCCAGCATAATTCAGGCCAGCGTGTTTTTTTACTCTACTTGCTCTTTAATTCCAATGTTTTTGCTGCACTGCAGATAAAAGCTGCTTCACACTGAAACAATTAATCTCATCCAAGCTAAATACAGAATCTGCAATAGTAATATGGTCCCATACCAACTCAGCAACCATTTTGCGTGCCAGGATACCATTTGCCAGTTAACAGAATATCTAATTGCTTCCCAATAGTTTCGAAGACATTACATGTAGAACAGACAAGCACAGGACAGTGTAAAAGTTCAGCTGCAGTGAACTGAAACAAAGCCTTGTTTAGAACTGTGCTGATCAGCATTAACTATCCAGTTTTAAATCTACAAGCCCCTAGAGACCCTGCACTTAAATTGGTTTAGGCTCACTGAAATCAACTTTAAACAGAGAATGAATGGATTGTATTCATATATCACACTTCTGCAAAACTAAAGCTATGGTTTTATATTTTGTGACCAACTATTCAACAACATCAGACAACAAAACAAATGCATGCCTGATAACATAGAAGAAACATACATACAGTGGTGGCCAAACATGAAAACTGCCTCAATATTTCTGTTTTACAGAAGTTAATAAAGCTGGACTGAACAAGATTCTCCCTCCCAAACACATGATAGTATGCTAGTATATGCAAACAGTGTCTATGTATTTAAAAAAGCTAGACAAATAAAGACAAATAATGATACATGACTTGCAGTACAAACTCTATGCTGACTTTTGAGAATTACATATGCCACCTTAACAACTAACCAATGAGTTTTCATTATGAACTGAATTTTCAAAGGGGATCTTAACCTTCACTAGTAAACAATTTGCTAGGTTTATCCAAGAGAAGATAGTCAATAATCCAAGCCACTTGGGGTTTATCATCCTGATTTCTCATTTTAATGCATCTTTCAGATAGAAGTACTTCACAATTTTTACCTCACTTAATTACCACAGGACATGTGAAAGAAAACAGGTGTCCACATGTACAAATTTTTGGTGAGAGCACACTAATCTTACTACTTAGCATTTATGTTGGATATACAGTCAAGCTAAACCAAAAGTACCTAGTTGTTAAGGAGTATGGAGATAAAATCCACAGCCCCAGAACATCCTAATAAATCAACAGTTACAGCTTTAGCTATTCAGCAGATCAGGGTATGAAGAGCTGAAAGATGCTGGAACACTTTTAGCACTCAAGGCTTTTATTCTTTCCCTTTCTACACGTAACCTGTAATGGTTCAGTCACATCCAGACTATTTTTTTGGCACTGTGGTAACATAAATTAGTCTGTTGCAAAGCATACCAAAGGCATGACAAATTCTTGAAGTACAATTTACATTTGTAAGTACATAGCACTAGAATGTGAGTGAGTAGTTCTTATCCCCTGTCTCAAAGCATCCTTTCCAGGCAGACTATAATTACTGTTTCTAATTGTGGATTTTTAAATTGCTTCATACTTTTTGATTTCTGTATTAGGTTGTAAGCCTCTGTTCTAGGCACTTAACAATTTTAGGTTAACTGACCTTTATAGATTATTAATGTAATAAACACACTCTCTTGGCCTCCCTACAGTACAACTCTATGCATTATTGCCATTGGGGAACAGAAACATTGTAACATGCACCCTCCTGCACTCCTTCTCAAATGCAATAACCTTCATTGAAATATGGTATCTTCAGAACGTGACCGAATTGTATGGACGGCCAGCAGTGAGAACCAGTGTGGTGTGGTGGTTAAGCACAACGAACTCTAGCCTTTGATTCTCACTCCTCCATATGCAGTCAGCTGGTTTGACCTGGGGTCAGTCACAAGTTCTCTCGGAGCTCTCTCAGCCCCACCTACCTCACAGGGTATCTGTTATGGGGAGAGGAAGGGAAGGAGACTGTAAGCCGCTCTCAGACTCCGAGTGAAGAGCGGGGTATAAATCCAGCTCTTCTTCTTCAATATTTCCCACACTAGAAACTCCATGAGAACATTACCCCACAAAACGACACCTCTGTCACAACCAACCACCAAAAATATGTCACGACACATTCTAGAACTTCAGGACGTCTCCAAACACAAGCGGATGAAAGTTGCCGCCGAGACCGCGGTCGCCACCACACTGGTTCCACGCATCCGGAGACGCAGTCAAGAGGTGGGGAGGAAAAGGCCACCCTTCTTAATTGACAGACAAAAGGCAGCGCTGAACCACGATCACAAGGTACTGACCTGCATTAAACGGTTCCGAGTACCACCCGTGGGGAAAAGGACAGTCACATCACATCTACACACACCGGCTCCAAAGAAGAGCCGCGACAAGAGCCTTCCTTCCCTCCCTTACGGCTAGGCGCTGCTAGGTTAAGAAACAGAGCAGCCGCTTCTGCTTCTCCACCACCCCGGACGACACGAGAAAGAACTATACTGCTTCCCCTGAAGCGAAGCAGGCGTCCCTTCTTTATAGAGGTCGGCGGGGGAGGGCGGAGCCCCGCGGATACGTGCTTGAGGAAGCTCTGGGGAATAATGGGGGGGAGGAAAGGAGATATGAAACCCAACACCCCCGCCTCCTGGCCCGTTACAGCAGAAGCGCGCAATAGGCGGGGCAGGAAGGGGCCCCTCTTAAAATATATGCCTCCAACAGCAGCGGCCACAACCTACCGTCGCCTCCACCGCTTCTTTTAACTGGCCCGGACCAAGCTGGTTCCACCGCTCTTTTTGGCCCGCATCAACTCAACCCCAACAGGCACAAAGCCCCACCCCCTTCCGCCTCAATCGCCACCTTCGCCTGATGGGGGAAAATGCGCCACCGGGGCCCTTTGGCGCAGGCGCGAGCTCCTCCTATGCCCGTTTAATAAGCTCTATTTGGTTCTCTCGCCCACCCTCCCTCTATCCCCCCCCCCCAATTTTTTCGTTCCCCTCGATGCATCCCGGGATCTGTAGTTCCGTTGGAAAAAAGAGTCCCTCTCTATGCTGCGGCAAAAAGGCGTATGAAAAACATTGCTACCCAGAAGGCTCCGCGGCGCCGAGTCTCTGTTTCCATAGAATTGGTCTGAGAATTACATCAGTGTTTCTGATAGAGAGGCTAATGGCGTTAAGGAGCAGGCGGGCCCTTCTGTGGTAGGGACCAATGACGGACACGTAAGGCGGGGAGGGGGCGGGGGTTGAGCTGTCAGTCACGTTTCGGATCTAGAGGGGGAGGGGGAGTGAACAGCTTGGAGCGGAGCCGCTGCTGTCGCCGTCGCCACCGGGGTTCGGACGGGAGGGACTGGCCCCTACCGTTGCAGGGCGGGAGCCGCCACCGCCTGTCCTCTCGGCCCGGCCAGCGATTGCTGGGTTATATTCGGGATTTTGGCAAGGGGATCGAGTCCTGCGCTGGGAGGAGGCTCCATCCTCGGCCCCCCCACCCGCAGTTAGGGGGGACCCGCGAGCGGGCGGGCGACAGCCGCGGAACAAAGGTAACGTAGCCCGGAGGAAGAGTGCCTCAGCTCCCGTGGCCGCGAGTGGCTGCTGAGCTCCTCGGCGGAGGCCGAAGCTGTTTTGTAGAGGCGATGCGAGGGAGAGAGCGGCAGGAGCGCTCCTGGTTTGTTGTTTTTCTCCTTGTTGAGGCTGCGGCGGGACTCGCTGATATCCCCCCCCCTCCCTCCCTGCCTGCCTGATCCAAAGCCTTCGGGTCTCAGAGGAGGGGAGGCGGGGAGGGGGGTCCTGGAGCCGCCTGCGGGGGCCAAAATGGAAGGAAGCCTCCCTTCAGCCCCCCCTCCCCCCCGATCCCCTGCTTTTTCGGCCGCTGACCAGCTCTGGGCGAGGAGCTGCGGCTGTTGCTTAAACTCCTGCCGCGG